ATAAATATATATATATATATATATATGTTTGAGATTAGCATAAGAGTAGCTTTGGGATTCTTTCATCCACTGCCATTTCCACTGAACCAGTTATGAATCTTTTAGAGAGGGTGTTGGCTGAGCAATGGGGAAATGAATTCAGGGTCTTTGCACTAGGATACATCTCTAGCTATTCTTAATAGCTGTTTTTGAGTCAGAATCTTGCTCAAGGGCTAAATTGCCAGACTAGGTTCAAATTTGTAATCCTCCTACTTCAGCCTCCCAGAGAGCTAGGATTCCAGGGACATGCCATATTTTAAAGGGAAAGATAGTTAACTTGAACACAACACCCAAGTCAGTGTCCTTGAACATGCCTCCCTGACCTTGCCTGAGGGCCAGAAATGGGCATATAAATAACAGAAAAGCCACAAAAAGAGTCAAAATTCCCTTAATTACTAGCTGTTTCACATTTGACTGAAGAACAGAAAGCAAGGAACAAGAAGAGAGTTGAGCATGGTAACTCATATCTGTAAAGCCAGCATGCGAGAGGCTGAGGCAGAACTGTGAAATTCCCATGTCAGGAGAATTGTGAATTCCTGTGTCATACAATACCCAGGAAACAACCTGCTGGCTCAGGAGAATCTGAGAAAGGTGAGAACTGAGCCCAGCAAAGGAGACTGCAAGGTTCCATGTTATTCACTACTGAAGATAACAAAAAGTACTTACATTATAGCAGAGAAAGGATTTTTTATGTATGATCTCAACTATTTTTTTATCTTTTAAAAAAAATATTCTCTAGTATTTGCTTCAGCACCACATATACCAAAATTGGAATGATATAAAGAAGATTAGCATGGCCTCTGTGGAAGGATGACATGCAATTTCATGAAGCACTCCATATTTTGAAATACATATACATACATTCTCTAAATTCAAGACAGCCACAAAAGCAGGTATTATTATTCCCAGTCTACAGATCATGATGCTAAGGTTTAGAGAAAACAATTTATGATTTTACAGCCTGTTAAGCAGAGAGTAGGACATGAACCTAAGTGAATCTGACTTTTGTTTTATTTTGCATGGGTACCTTGCCACTGAGCCACATTCCTAGACTCTTCTATCTTTTAAGATAAGGTCTCACTAACATGCCCAGGCAAGACTTGAACACTTGAACTTACAATCATCCTTCCTCAGCTTTCCAAAGTGCCATGATTTACAGGCATGTACCACTATGCCCACCTTCCAATATGTTTTTAAACTGCTCTTATATACATATATTCCCTTCTTTCTTCAATGCCCCCTTTCATCCCAATACTAGGGATTGAATCCAAGGCCTTTACATGGAGCTACATGCCCTGCCTCTTTTTTTTTTTTTTTTTTTTTAATAAAGTCTAGCTAAATTACCCTAGGATCAGGGAGATAGCTCAGAGGCATAAATTCCTGCCTAACAAGTGCAAGGTCCTAGTTCTATACCTGATACTGAAAAAAAAAAAAAATTACCCTAGCTGGGTTCAAACATATGATCATTCTGCCTCAGCCTCCCAGAGTTCTAGGATTATTGGCAAACACCAGCTTCCCTCTCTTTTTCTTTTTAGTGATACACTCAAGGTTTGCTTGGATCACTAGGATAAGGTCCACTGGGGCTTGCAATCCTATTCTTTACAGAAAACATAGCAGTCTGGCCTAACAACTATTTCTTTGTTACTAACAGAGGAAGATTTCAAATTCATTCCCTCTGTAAAGAAGAGCAAGCAAAAAGATAATTCAACTGGTATAAAAGAAAAACCAGCATGACAATCAAGACCCTCAATAGTGAGGGCTTGTGAAATAATCGATAAGGAAGTGTCCTGAAAATGGAAAGGCAGGATTTTTCCTTTCCTAGAGATTTTAACTGCAAAAACATCTTCCTTATTTTACAATTCTAACAACTTCTATGGCCACCCTCTGTGAACCCCTAGCTTGTATCCCAGTTCTAACACTGGAGTCTCACTAATATGTGGGTGTCCCTAAAAAATGTAAGTTGCCTACATCACTTCTCTGGGGATCAGTTTTGCCATCAGGGAAAAAAAAAATCAGCACTTCCCTATAATCCTGGCTATTTGGGATGTTGACACAGGAGAATTATAAATTTGAGATTAGTCTAGACAATTTATTAAGACTCAATCTCAAAACAAACAAAAAAATGGCAAGATAAAACTGAGGCACTGGGCATTAGAGGGTCATCTTCTAACTCTTCTCTCAAAACAAACAACAACAAAAAGACAAGCTAGGCACACAAGCAGTACATGCCTATAATTCCATCATTCTGGGAGGGTGGGCGAGGAGAATCACAAATTCAAGCCCAGGCTGGGCAACTTAGCAACTTAGTGAGGCCCTATCTCAAAATCTAAAAAGCTTTAAAAAGGACTAGAGATGTGTATCAGTGCAAAGGCCTTGGATTCAATCCCCAGTACTGCCGAAAAAGAAGGCAGGCAGGCATGCATAAACAAAGCTGGGAGTAGCTCAGTGCTGGAGCAAATGCCTACCATGCAGGATAAACTCTTCTGTTCAATCTCTAGCACTGCAAACAAACAAAAAGAAAACATAAACAGCCACCTGTGAGAAAAAAACCATTACCAACCCAGATGTTTGGGAGATCACAGACCTCTTTGACAACCCCCAAACACCTTTATTTTAGACTTTAGTAAGTATGAGACAGGAGAGGAGGAGAGCACTAAATCAACCTTAAATACTCTGCTTAGGTGCTGGCCCCTGAAACTTCCAGTATCTAATTCAGCAGCAACTCAAAGCATGACAAATCAATGTGGTTTGTATGGACTGTCCTATCTGATGTTCTTTCCACTAGACTAATGCCTTCCAAGTTTCTAGAGTGTGGTCTGCAGCAGCTGTACCCTTAGGACCCCCACAGAAAGTAGAAGCAATAAAACTTGAGATAAAGAAATATCCACTGAAAAGTTCACTGGCCTCTGGAAGGCTAAGGCAAAAGAATTGCAAGTTTGAGCTTAGCCTGAGCAAATTAGCTACTCAGCTAGACCTTTTTTTTTTTTTTTTTTTTTTTTGAGACAGTCTCACTATGTAGCCCAGTCTTCCCTGAGTTTTGGGAATTTTCTATTTTCTG